GTCGCCGCCCCTTTCAGGCCCCTCGCGGCCCCTTCGCGGCCCGTCGCCGCCCTTCCAGGCCCCTCGCGGCCCCTTCGCGGCCCCGTCGCCTACCCTAGCGGCCGCGTCGCCGCCAGCGGCCCCGTCGCCGACCCTAGCGGCCCCGTCGCCGCCCCTTTCGGCCCCTCCGCCGCCTCCAGCGGCCCCGTCGCCGCCACTTGCGGCCCCGTCGCCGCCCCTTTCGGCCATTCCTCGACCGTGCCCCGGCCCCGCCCCGGCCATGCTTTGTCGCCAGTTGCGGCGCACCGGGGGCACGTGCACCGCCCCCCCCCCCCCCCCCCCCCTTTTCCCGTCGCCTGTCGAGGCGACCTGAGGGGGCCGCGGGGCGACCTGGGGGAGGGGGGCGAGCGCCGCCCCTTCTGCCGCCTGTTTTGGCGCCGTGGGAGGCCGCGTGTCGACCCCCCCCCCCCCCCCCCCCCGTAACCTCCCTACCTGCCGTCCCGCCCTGCCCTGTGTTAGGGTCTGGGGGTGGCGAGTAGGGGGTGGCGGGTGTGTGGGCTCCCCTGCTCCTCCTCCTCCTCTGTCTCCCACTGCTGCCGTTGCCGCTGAGGGGGGTGGGTGTGTAGGAGTCGACGAAGTGGTGCTAGGGGGTGGGGTGTGAGTGAACCTAGGGTGCAGCAGGGGGTGTGTGAAAGGGGGGTGGGATAGTTTGGGGAAGTTGAAGGGGGGTGGCCGCCGTGAAGCCCGCAGCTCCAGTCGCCCGTGAGACCGTTGCGCCAGTCGCCCGTGAGCCCGTTGCGCCAGTCGTCCGTGGGCCAGTTGCTCCAGTCGCCCGTGAGTCTGTTGCTCCTGCCGCTCAGAGTTAGCCGCAGAGCCAGTTACTCCAGTAGCCCGTGTGCCAGTTGCTCCAGTTGCCAGTGTGCCAGTTGCTCCAGTTGCGCCGTGTGCCAGCAGCTTTAGCTGCCGCCCACTACCTCCTCTCCTCTCATAGTCCCTCCTCCTCCACACTTGCCTTTGGTGATAGCCTCTAGCTTTGCTTACAGTTGTGCTCAGAATGTGTGGTGACATTGTGATCCACTCTGAGCTTGTTCTGCTTTGCTTGTTGTGCTGATTACACCCCACTTTGACTATGGGGGTGTGTCAGAATATTATGTTTTTCTAGTCTGCAGTGGGGTACTCTATAGTGAGTACAACCCTTTTAGGGTTTGCTATATGTATCCCAATGTTTGCTAGTGAACCCCTCTCTTATTCATTCCTCAATTCTCACAGGTAACAACGCGGTGATGGTCGTCGTTGACAGATTGACGAAGATGGCACACTTCGCTGTGTGCAAAAAGTCGATCTCAGCCGAAGAGACCGCTCGTCTGTTCATCGCAGCCGTTGTTCGCCTGCACGGGATACCAGCAGCGATTATCAGCGACAGGGACACGAAGTTCACCAGCAACTTTGGGAAGAACCCTTGGGAGCAGTTCGGGACCACGCTACAGTTCAGTTCGTCGTACCACCCCGAGACCGACGGTCAAACGGAGCGGACGAATCAGACGATGGAGCTGTTTATTCGTGCCACGTGCGACGACCCCACGACTTGGGAGCAGCAGCTGCCGCTGATCAAGTTCGCGTACAACAACGCCACGTCAGCGACGAGGCAGCAGTCCCCCTTCTACCTGAACTACGGGCAAAATCCTACAGTGCCCATGACGCCGAGTCCGGACAGCCCAACACCACGCGCGCAGCAATTCGCCGAAATTCTGCAAGCTGCCCGCACCAGAGCCGCAGAAGCAACTATAAAAGCAAACGTCATCACTAAGCGCAATGCTGACCGCCACCGCCGCCCAGTCACATACCAGTCAGGGGATTACGTACTGCTCGACACGCAAAATCTGCGACTGCTCGACGTACCAAAACTTCGACCGCGCTACTGTGGCCCATTCCAAATCAGCCACATGATCACGCCAGTAAGCGCGCCCCTACTGTTACCGACTGACTGGTACATCAGCCCTTCGTTTTACGTCAGCTTACTTCGCCCATACATCCCAACCACAAGCCAACTGCCTCGCCACCGCCCGCCATCCATGACTCGCCCTGCATCTGAACCGATCATCGAGCCCGAAAAAATCCTGAGCCATCGGATTCGCCACCCCACGGGAATCAGGAGGATTGAATTCCTCGTTCGTTGGAAGGACCGCACGCCAACTGAAGATAGCTGGGTGCCCCTGGCCAACATTGAAAACCACCCTGCCCTGCAAGTGTACCTGAGGAGCCGGGGATTTGGGGGGGGGGGGGGGGGGGGGGGGGGTAGTGTAAGGAATTTTCTCGACATTCCTTGCGGAGCTCGACTACATCGCGTACAGCAACAGCCGTTGTTCGCCCGTTACTGCTAACGGGACTTCGCCAACTTCGCGCGCACTGTTTTGCCAAACCTCGCACTGCTGGCCCGGCCATGTCGGCCTACGCTTCGGGACTAGCCCGAGCCTCGCTGCCAACATAGCACTATCTAGCTCGCACGCACCGCGTTACCGTTCGCATGGTTCGCATATAAATGTTCGCTCATGCCTTCGCTCACATCTTTGTACTCGTTTGACACCCTAGTGCAGTTCTCGCTACTTCGAGTCATTGCACCCATAACAGCAAGCCCTAACCTTTGCGACGGACGCTGGCCTGGTGTTGCACTTCTCTGTGTTGCAGGTTGGTTGTCTCTGTGCAGCCGAACAGAGCCTGTCAGCGAGTAGTGCGAAAACCAGTGTTGTTGCGAGCTCCTCCTCGTGCTTGACGAATAACGCTCGCGAAAGCGTCCGACACTCGTTGATTCACAACATGTTCCCGCCATTCGTTGACCCTTACCTCACACAGGAGAGATCACTAGAAACGAATTTTGCTACAGCGCCCGCGAACACGCCGGCAACCTGTCGAGAACCAAACAAGCTCCAAGGCTGAAACCCTAGGCTGCTACCCTACCAAACCTCCCTAGGCTGGAATTCTAGCGAAGCTCGACGCAGTTTCCTAGATACTTCCGGAGCTTCTTAATATTCCTTACAAGGACAATTGCTGACGCGTGGCGTCTACCGTAAGCGCGCTTCGATCGTGGCCCGCTTTTCGTGCGACTTGCGATGTTATTTTTTAACCCATTCTATTAGGTCTGCTGGAATGATAATCAGTCATAGCGATTGATGATACCTGGCCAGCGTTTTGACACGCTATCGCTAAGTGCAAGCGCTATCGCGATGTATCAGGTGGTTGATATTGACGCCACGTGACGTCGTCGTTTTGCATCTGCCATTCCATTCTCCCATCGCATCTCCTCCATTCTCTCACCCTCAACTCCTCTTTTCCTCCCGTCATCATTTCCTCCCGTTTTCCCTTCCCCATCTCCTCCCGTCCGCCCATCCTCATCTCCTCCCCTTCTCCCTTCCGCATCTCCCCACGTCCTCCCATCATCATTTTCTCCTGTTTCCTCTTCCCCTTCTCTCGTCCGCCCATCCTCATCTCCTCCCGTTCTCCCGTCCGCCCATCCTCATCTCCTCCCCTTCTCCCGTCCGCCCATACTCTCTTCCCCCATTGCTCACTTTCTTTCCCCCTGATCACGCTATCCCCCCCTAATCACTCTATTCCCCCATTATCGTTCTCTTCCCCCTTCTCCCCCTCTTACATCTTAATCACACTCTCCCCCCTGCTCACTCTCTTCCCCTCTCCACCCACTCTTCCCCCCGTGGTCACTCCCTATCCCCCTGTCCACTCTGTCCTTACCTCCAGGCTCGTCACATCCAGGCTCGTCACATCCAGGCTCGTCACATCCAGGCTCGTCACATCCAGGCTCGTCACATCCAGGCTCGTCACAGCCAGGCTCGTCACATCCAGGCTCGTCACATCCAGGCTCGTCACATCCAGGCTCGTCACATCCAGGCTCGTCACATCCAGGCTCGTCACATCCAGGCTCGTCACAGCCAGGCTCGTCACAGCCAGGGTCCCTGCCGCTAGTTGAAATGCAAGCTTCAGCCTGGGTCAGACCGACTGGCACAGCAGTGACCTGTGAGACGAGTCTTCTTTGCCACGATGAGACCACGCTGTTGGAATACAGTTACGTGCCTGGCAATGGCAGTTCTGCTGTATTTCGCACCCCCATCGCCATTGGCAGTCAATTGCCGCCATCGCACCCTCGCACCCCCGCCGGCCCCTTTGTCGACCCTCCACGCCCAACCTTTGCCGAACCTCCACGCCCACCCTTTGCCGAACCTCCACGCCCACCCTTTGCCAACCCTCCACGCCCCTTTGCCAATCCTCCACGCCCACCCTTTGCCGACCCTCCACTCGCACCTTTTGCCGACCCTCCACGGCCACCCTTCGCCGACCCTCCACGCCCACCCTTCGCCGACCCTCCATGCCCACCCTTTGCCGACCCTCCACGCCCACCCTTTCCCAACCCTCCACGCCCACCCTTTGCCGACCCTCCACGTCCGCCCTTTGCCGACCCTCCACGCCCTCCTCTGCCGCCCAACGGCTCTATTCCCAGTGAGCCCCCTACTGCAAGTAGAGGCCCAGGTAGAACCACCACCGCTGGCACAAGATCAAGCCCAAAGTGGGACGATGATCTCACAGCGGACCTTCTCCGCTGTGTCATAGCGGCCATGCGGGATGCAGGCAGAGCGCCCTTTGGCAAAGTGCAGTGCTGGGACGCTGTGTTCGCCCGATGGAATGCCCAGCATGCCGACCTCAACTTCACGGAATCGCAGCTGCGAAACCGGCTCAACGCGGTGAAGGCGTGGGTGAAGGACATCAGGCAACTCAAGTCAAGGGTCCGCCCGGGAGTGACTTGGAACCCTGCTACCGATCGCTTCGACCCGCATTCCATGGTAAGCCTCCCAGGCGGCGCTGCCTGTCTGTCTCTGCGTATGTTAATTGAGAATTCTAAAAAAACATTAACTTCGACCCGCATACCATGGTAAGCCTCCTATGCGGCGCTGCCTGTCTGTCTCCTTGTGTTGACAGTGACTCTCAGCTTGAAGAGGGCTTTTAAGTATTTGTACCTACCACTCTCCTCCCATTCCCTTCTCGTGCAGGTTCGTGATGCTGATAATATCACGAAGCATGCCAAATGGGATGATTATAAACGGTGGGTCTGCCACACCGCACCGTGGCTTAGCCTTGGGGAGCAGGTTGTACCCAAATCCAGGTTGAGTGGCAGCAGCTACGCATTCGCGACAGGGGATGGCGACAGGTACTACTCTGACGGCCCAGGTGGAGACGAACTCTCGAGTGGGGATGAAGTGGCGGATGCAGCGTATACTAGAGGCCGGCAGCGCCGTCGACTGGGACTTGAGCAGAGCAGTCCTCACACGTCTGCGCCTTCAATGGCCACCAGATCCCATCCTCCTGCATCCGCATCCCCACCCCCCGCTCCTGCAGCATCCCCCATTCCCCCACACGGTGCATCCCCACCCCCCGCTCCTGCAGCATCCCCCATTCCCCCACACGGTGCATCCCCACCCCCCGCTCCTGCAGCATCCCCCATTCCCCCACACGGTGCATCCCCACCCCCCGCTCCTGCTGCAAGCCCCACTACCGCACCCACTGCACTCCCGTCCGTTGCAAGTAGAGGCCCATCGAGAATCACCGCCACTGGCACAAGGTCAATGATAAAGTGGAACGATGACCTCACAGCCGACCTCCTCCGCTGTGTCATAGCGGCCATGCGGGATGCAGGCAGGGCGCCCTTTGCCAAAGTGCAGTGCTGGGATGCTATCTTCGCCCGGTGGCATGCCCAGCATGCCGATTTGAACTTCACGATGGAGCAGCTGCGGAACCGGCTCAACGCAGTGAAGGCGTGGGTGAAAGACATCAGGGAACTCAATTCGTGGGTTGGAGAAGGTGTGAGCTGGGACCCTGCACGCGACTTCTTCGACCCAAGTACCATGGTAAGTTGAGGTCAATCTTTATGATTCTCACAAAGTAAGCCTCCTAGGCAGGCACTGCCCGTCTCCTTGTGCTGACATAGAAATGCAATTTGAAGAGGGCGGTTGTTTTTTTGTTTACACACCCTCTCCTCCCCATTCCCGTATCATGCAGGTTCGTGATCTCGATATCCCTCCGCGTAAATGGGATGATTATAAACGGTGGGTCACCCACACCGCCCCGTGGCTTAGCCTTGGCGAGCAGGTGACTCGTCATGGCAACCACGCTTGCACCACCACAGCAGATGGCGACAGGTATTACTCAGACGGCCCGGGTGAATATGACCTCTCGAGTGGGGATGATGAGGCGGATGCAGCGTGCACTAGAGGTCGGCAGCGCCGCCGCCCGGGACTTGAAAACAGCAGTCCGCACCAGTGTGCTGCTGCAGCAGCAAGCCCCAATCCCGCACCCGCAGCATCCCCTGATCGTGCACAGCCCGCCCTCCCCCCTTATGCCTTCCCCTCGCCCTCCCTCCATCCGCCCCCCCTTGATCTCCCCGTCCCCCCCCTGCGCGCGAACACCTACGAGCTTGGTTTGCTGGGTAATGGCTCGACAGGCAGGGGCAATGCCACGCTCGTAGACACAGGCACGGGCATGGGCGCGGGCACGGGCACATGCACAGACACGGGGTTGCGCGAACGGCGGGAGCGGTGGGAACAGGCATTGAAAAGCGGCAAGTGGCGGCCGATGTGGGACAACGAACAGACAACAGCTCTTTTGGAGATCATTCGCGACGTGCTGCACGCTCAGGGCAGCGCCCTCCCCGGCAGGATCGAGGACTGGGGGGCGGTGCACCGCGAGTGGTTGCGACGAGGGTTCCCGCGGTACTCGAAGGAGCAGCTGAGAATCCGGTGCAGTTCGGTGCGCGGGTGGGTGAAGGATATTCAGTTTCTGCAGGAGCTGCTGCCGCCTGAAGTCACCTGGGACCCCACCACTCAGCCCTTCAACCCCGACCCTGAGGTGAGTTGGTGAGAGGGCGATGTGAAGTGGTGAGAGAGCCCGAGGTGAGAGGAAGTGGTGAGAGGGAGAGGTGAGAGAGCTCAAGGTGCGCTGTGGTTTGTCCCCCACCCAAAGGTGGTCTGTACTTTAGCGTCTACCACCCTCCTCCGCCTCCTCCGCCTCCCCTCTCTCTCACGGAAGCCCCGCACGGCAACGACCACACTCCTCGTCCCTCCCTTCACTCCGTTGCTCCTATCCCGCTTACCCCCCTTTCCCCGCTCCCTTCACCCCCCCCACCGCCCTTCTTCAGCTGGGCATCAGCCTGTGGCTGAAGCAACATGGGCAGTGGAAGCACTACAGGCGGTGGAGCAAGCACACGGCGCCCTGGCTGCCCCTTGCTCTGCTCAACGCCCACACGTGCCCTGCTGAGGTTGAGTGGGAGGAGGAGGACGAGGAGGAGGCGGATTGGGGAGAAGGGGAGGGAGAGGAGGAGGATGGGGAAGAGGAGGAAGATGAAGTGATGGAGGTGCGGGCAGGTGGGGAGGGGAATGGGGATGCGGAGGAGGAGGTTGAGGAGGGGGAGTGGGGAGAGGGATGGGGCGATGGGAGCCGACTGCGGCGAGTGGCAGGGAGGTATAGGCGTGGAGGAAGGAAAGTGCGGCGGCAGAGAGATAGAGAGGGGTTGGAGGCACGGGGGGGTAGTGGAGAGCGGTGGAGGGGTGGAGAGTTGGATGGTGATGAGTGGTTGGGGACGTGGAGGATGGATGCGTTGCAACAGGCTGCACAGGGAGGGGGCGCGAGGAGAAGAGAGGGACGAGAGGGTGTGGAAGGGAGAGGGGTTGGGAGTGGTGGGGTCGGGGCTGCACAGGGGAATGGTGGGGTCGATGGTGTTCCGCGTGCTGAGGTGGCACGTAACAATGTCACCTTTGCTGACGTGGCTAATGCTGCTGACGTGGCTCATGCTGCTGACGTGGCTCGTGCTGACGTGGCCTGTGCTGACGTGGCTCGTGTGGGTGAGACTGGTGGTGCAAGTGCGGATGATAGGGACGAGTACCCTGCGAGGCTGGCAGCGCGGATCGCTGGCATGGCAGTGAGAAGGAGGGAGCAAGGCGGCACAGAGAGGCTCGCGGTTGAGGGCGAGGGGGGAGGGGCCGGGGATGGGGGAGGAGGAAATGCCAATGCACAACGGGGGGATGGGGATCTTGAAGGAGAGAATGGGGTGGGGGAGAGGCAGGAAAGAGAGAGAAGGGAGGAGGGGAGAGCGGGGAGGGGTGTGAAGCGGTCGAGGCCGGTGTGGGTGCAGGCAATGGAGAGGAAGCGGCAGCGGCGGGTGATGGAGAGTGTGGCGCGTGCCGTCAAGAGCATGGCGGAGAAGGGCCAGCCGCACGTGCATAGAGGTAGGTGATGAGCAGGCACAGATGCTTAGGGTTAGGATGTGATGTCATGTGATGTGACGTGTTGTGATGTGATGTGACGTGTTGTGATGGGATAGGATGGGCGGGATGGGATGTGATGGGATGGGATGGGATGGGATGGGATGGGATGGGATGGGATGGGATGGGATGGGATGGGATGGGATGGGATGGGATGGGATGGGATGGGATGGGATGGGATGGGATGGGATGCGATGCGATGCGATGCGATGCGATGCAATGTGGTGTGGTGTGGTGTGGTGTGGTGTGGTGTGATGTGATGTGGTGTGATGTGATGTGATGTGATGTGATGTGATGTCATGTCATGTCATGTCATGTCATGTCATGTCATGTGATGTGGTGTGATGTGATGTGATGTGAAGGCACAACTTCCTTCCAGTATCAAATTTGTCCACGATCAGAGTAACAAATGCTGGAGCCAAGCAGATATGGCGGGAGATCTGATGTTAAAATGAGCAACATGAAATTAGCAACAGTAGCTATCGTAACTATATAAGTCATGATAATTGTAAGAATCAATCAATCCCTTTTTACTCCCTTCCCACCGCTCCCTTCCAATCCTCTCACCGTCAAATGCGGTGGCGGATAGTGTGTTCAAGTCGGTGCAGGACGTGCAAGCATCGCCCTCATTCTTACTCAGAGAGATTTAGATTCTACCCAGAACACCACACTCTCTTCCTTCTGCTCTCTCTTCATCTATGCTTAGGCTACGTAGGGATTAAGTGAGCAAAATATCATTTCAAGACTGAGCGTGCGTGCATTTTGGCACAATGGCCTTCGTCAGCGCTCTCACAAAGATTTTTATTGTAGTTTTGAGAGCGCTGGCGAAGGCCATTGTGCAAAAACGCACGTACGCTCAGTCTCGGCATGATATTTCTTTGCATACACAATCCCCACCTAGCCTAAGCATAGACTAGTGGAGACCTGAACTAACTGAGTCTGGTGATCTGAGTCTGGTGATCTGAGTCTGGTGATCTGGGTCGAATCTATTTCTCTCTTTCCACCCACCTTCTTCGCAAACTTACTCCCCTTTCCCTCCCCCCCTTTTTCTTCACCACCAGACGTGGTGGCAGACGGTGTGTCCAAATCGGTGCAAAGTTTCTCCTCTCAAGCTCCTTCTGGGCCATCTGAGAACACAGCTTTGGCCTCCCCTTCTCCCCCCCCCCCACCCCCCACCAGACGCGGTGGCGGACAGTGTTGTGAAGGCAGTGCAGGACGTGCAGGCCCTCCCCTCTCTGACGGACGCGCAGCGCGTGGCGGCCATCGATGCCTTCCTGCAGCGCCCCCTCGACGCCCACGCCTTCCAGGCCATGAGCCCCGCCTTGCAGACCCTCTTTGCCCGCCGCGCCCACGCCCACGCCGTTGACCGGCAGCTGGCCGGGATTCAAGCTGCCGCTGCTGCGGGGGGGAATGCGCTCCTCCCAGACCAGCAGCTTGGGGGGCTGCCAGGTGTGGCTGGGGGTGCTGGTGTGGTGGGGGGGACTGCGGGGGTGGGAACGGCGGGGGTGGGAACGGCGGGGGTGGGAACGGCGGGGGTGGGAACGGAGGGGGTGGGAACGGCGGGGTTGGGACCGGCGGGGTTGGGAACGGCCGGGGTGGGAACGGCGGGGGTGGGAACGGCGGGGGTGGGGGCGGCGGGGGTGGGGACGGCGGGGGTGGGGACGGCGGGGGTGGGAACGGCGGGGGTGGGAACGGCGGGGGTGGGAACGGTGCGGTTGGGAACAGCGGTGGTGGGCATGGGGAGTACAGGAATGGGGGCAATGGGAAGAGGGGGGACGAGCATGGTGGGAACAGTAACAGGGGGAACACGGATGGGGGAAACGGGATTCGGTTCGAGGGGATTGGGGACGATGGGGCAAACGGGGGCAGTGGGAGGGATGGCAGGAGGTGGGGGTGTGGCAGGAGGTGGGAGTGTGGGTGTGGGAACGGCAGCAGCAGGTACAGTAGCAGCAGACACAGCAGGAGAAGGGAGGGGTGTACAAGGTGTGGGAGGGGTTGCAGGGGGAGTAGGGGAAACCGGGGCGGCAGCAGGGGCAAGAGGAGCAGGAGGGATGGGCGGCACACAAGGGGCGGGCGGCATGGCAGGGCTGCAGGTGCTGGGGCCTCGCGTGCAGGAGTTGATGCACGAGTTGGTTAGAGAGATCCTGGGAGCAGTCAATGCGAGTCAACAGAAGGTCAGCACGGGTCAACAGGCAGTCAGTGCTGGTCAAGGGGCGGTCAATGCTGGTCAAGGGGCGGTCAATGCAGGTCACACAAGGTTAACTGGCAATCCAGCGGTGGTCAATGGGATTCGATGCGAGTGCCATGAGTGTGTGGCTGCTAGATTGGCGATGAGAACACGTGAAGGCACAGTCAACGCGAGTCAAGATGGAGTCAATGCGGGTCAAGATGGAGTCAACGCGAGTCAACCAGTGGTCAATGCGGATCCAAGGAGGGGAGTGGTAGCGAATCAAGTGGAGGCAGCTGTCGGCCAATCAGGGTTAGGTGCAGGTCGTGTGGGGACGGCTGCTGTGCTAGAGACAAGAAATGCTGGTCAAGCACCAGTCAACGCAGGTCAAGCACGAATAAACGCCGGTCAAGCACGAGTCAACACTGGTCAAGCAGCAGTCAACGCCGGTCAAGCACGAGTCAACGCTGGTCTAGCACGATTAAACACTGGTCACACAACAGTCAACGCCGGCCAAGCACGAGTCAACGCTGGTCACGCTCCAGTCAACCCTGGTCACGCTCCAGTCAACCCTGGACAAACACCAGTCAACACTGGTCGCGCAGCAGCCAACGCCAGTCAAGCACGAGTCAACGATGGTCAAGCACTAGTCAACGCGGGTCAAGCACGAATAAACGCCGGTCAAGCACGAGTCAACGCTGGTCATGCAGCAGTCAACCCTGGTCAAGCACCAGTCAACGCTGGTCACGCAGCAGCCAACGCCAGTCAAGCACGAGTCAACGCTGGTCAAGCACCATTCAACGCTGGTCAAGCACCATTCAACGCTGGTCAAGCACCATTCAACGCTGGTCACGCACTGGTCAACGCTGGTCAAGCACCATTCACTGCTGGTCATGCACCAGTCAACGCTGGTCAAGCACTGGTCAACGCTGGTCAACCACCATTCAACGCGTTTCAAGCACTGGTCAACGCTGGTCAAGCACCATTCAGTGTTGTTCAAGCATTGGTCAACGCTGGTCAATTACCATTCACTGCTGGTCAAGCACCAGCCAACGCTGTTCAAGCGCTGGTCAACGCCGGTCAAGCACCATTCACTGTTGGTCAAGCACTAGTCAACGCTGGTCAAGCATCATTCAACGCTGGTCAAGCACTGGTCAACGCTGGTCAAGCACCATTCAACGCTGGTCTATGGGCTGCTAATGCAGGTGGAGGGGTGGGCCAAGGCAGAGCAGAGGGAGGAGGGGTGTGGAGGGACGCAGCGATCCTGGGGCTGCTATTGAAGCTGCTGCAAGGCCAGGCGAAGGAAACGGATGGGGCTGTGGCGAGGGGACAGGGGGAAAACGTCGGGCAAAGAGGGGAGCAGGGAGAGCAGCAGGGAAGGCAGCATGGAGGGGAGCAGGGAGGGGTGCAGGGAGGGGGGCAGGAAGGGGGGCAGGGAGGGGGGCAGGGAGGGGGGCAGGGAGGGGAGCAGGGAGGGGGGCAGGGAGGGGAGCAGGGAGGGGAACAGGGAGGAGGGCAAGGAGGGAATCGAGGAGGGAATCAGGGAGGGAATCAGGGAGCGGATGAGAGAGTCAGCTTGCCCGGGGAAAGTGGCAGTGGAGGGGGGCACTTCACGCTGTCGCACCGCTGTGTGGCGGACGGGCCGGCAGGGCAGTGCAGCCTGTGCAGCATCGTTGCCAATTTCGCCAAAATGGTGGGCGCCCAGGGTGGCCTGGGGGGCGCGCAGGGTGGCCTGGGGGGCGCGCAGGGTGGCCTGGGGAGCGCGCAGGGTGGCCTGGGGGGCGCGCAGGGTGGCCTGATGGGGGTTGCTGCTGGGGGAGGAGTGCCCGCAGCAAGCGATCTGAGGGGGAGTGGTGGTGGGGAAGCGGTGGCTGTGCCGAGTGGAGGAGGAGGGGGTGGTGTGGGAGAGGTGCGCATGTCGGGAGGAGGAGGGGGGAGTGGTGGTGGAGGGGAGGAGGGGGTGGGCGTTGAAGTTGAAGGGGTTGGGGCGGGAGAGACGGGAGAGGTGAGAGACGCGGGAGAGGTGGGAGAGGTGAGAGACGCGGGAGAGGTGGGAGAGGTGAGAGACGCGGGAGAGGTGGGAGAGGTGAGGCCAGGGGGTGGTGGAGAGGGACGGGGGGCTGGAGAAGGAGGGGAGGGTGTAGAAGGAGAGGGGAATGGGGGAGGGGGGGGTGGAGAGGGAGGGGGTGGTGGAGAGGAACGGAGGGTTGGAGAAGGAGGGGAGGGTGAAGGGTTGGGCGGCAGGGCAGGGCTGCAGCTGCTGGGGCATCGCGTGCAGGAGTTTGCTGGAAGAGAGAGCCTGGGAGCAGTCAACGCGAGTCAACAGATGGCCAGCACGGGTCAACAGGCAGTCAATGCTGGTCAAGGTTTAGTGAACATGCGCCAATCAGCAGTGAATCAAGGTCCACTGGAAAGTGTGGGTGCAGGCGAAGGGGCAGTCAACGCTGGTCAAGCAGCAGTGAACGCAGGTCAAGGGGCAGTGAACGCAGGTCAAGGGGCAGTGAACGCAGGTCAAGGGGCAGTGAACGCAGGTCAAGGGGCAGTGAACGCAGGTCAAGGGGCAGTGAACGCAGGTCAAGGGGCAGTGAACGCAGGTCAAGGGGCAGTGAACGCAGGTCAAGGGGCAGTGAACGCAGGTCAAGGGGCAGTAAACACAGGTCAAGGGGCAGTGAACGCAGGTCAAGGGGCAGTGAACGCAGGTCAAGGGGCAGTGAACGCAGGTCAAGGGGCAGTAAACACAGGTCAAGGGGCAGTGAACGCAGGTCAAGGGGCAGTGAACGCAGGTCACACGGGGATGACTGGCAATCCAGTGGTGGTCCATGGGATTCAATGCAAGTGCCGTGAGTGTCTTGTTGCTACATTGGCGGCCAGAATACGTGAAGGTGCGGTCAACCTGAGTCAAGCGGTCAATCTGAGTCAAGCAGCAGGCAATCCAATTCAAGCAGTAGTCAATCCAATTCAAGCAGCAGTCTATGTAGCGAGTCAACTAGTGGCCAATGCGGATCCAAGGAGGAAAGTCGCAGCGAATCAGGTGGAAATGGCTGTCGGTCAACAAGGGTTAGATGCAGGTCGTGCAGTCAATGCTGGTCAAGCACCAGTCAACGCTGGTCAAGCACCATTCAATGCTGGTCAAGCACTGGTCAACACGGGCCACGCACTGGCCAACGTGGGTCAAGCACCAGTCAACGCTGGTCAAGCACCAGTCAACGCTGGTCTATGGGCTGCTAATGCAGGTGGAGGGGTGGGCCAAGGCAGAGCAGAGGGAGGAGGGGTGGTGGGAAGAGGAGGGGCTTGGAGGGACGCAACGACCATGGGACTGCTGCACCTGCTGCTGCCAGGCCGGGCAAAGGAAAGGGGCGGGGCTGTGGCGAGGGGACAGGAGGAGACCGGCGGACAAAGAGCGGAGCAGGGAGGGGGGCAGGGAGGGGGGCAGGGAGGGGAGCAGGGAGGGGAGCAGGGAGGGGAGCAGGGATTGGGGCAGGGAGGGGAGCAGGGAAGGGTGCAGGGGGGGGAGCAGGGAGGGGGGCAGGGGGTTGAGCAGGGAGGGGGGCAGGGAGTGGGGCAGGGAAGGGGACAGAGAGGGGGGCAGGAAGGGAGACAGGGAGGGAAGCAGGGAGGGGAGCAGGGAGGGGAGCAGGGAGGGAAGCAGGGAGGGGAGGAGGGAGGGGAGGAGAGAGTGGGAACAGTCAGCATGCCGGGGGGAAGCGGCAGTGAAGGGGGGTTCTTCACGGTGTCGCACCGCTGTGTGGCGGATGGGCCGGCAGGGCAGTGCAGCCTGTGCAGCATCATGGCCAATTTTGTGAGAGTGGTGGGTGCATATGGCGGCCTGGGGGGGGTTGCTGCTGGGGGAGGAGTGCCCGCAGAAAGTGACCTGAGGGGGAGTGGTGGGGAAGCGGTGGCTGTGCCGAGTGGAGGGGGGGTTGGTGCTGGGGGAGAGGTGCGCTTGACGGGGGAAGGAGGGGGGAGTGGTGGTGGAGGGGCGGAGGGGGTGGGTGTTGCGGGTCAGGGATGTGTTGCGGGTCAGGGATGTGTTGCGGGTCAGGGATGTGTTGCGGGTCAGGGATGTGTTGCGGGTCAGGGATGTGTTGCGGGTCAGGGATGTGAGACGGGAGAGGTGAGGATGGAGGAGCAGGGGGGTGCAGGTGACGATTCACCAACTGCCGGCCCAGAAGAGGTCAATGCAGGTCAAGGGGCAGTCAATGCAGGTCAAGGGGCGGCCAATGCAGGTCAAGGGGCGGTCAATGCAGGTCAAGGGGCGGTCAATGCAGGTCAAGGGGCGGCCAATGCAGGTCAAGGGGCGGATTTGAGTGGAGGGAAGGAGTTGAGTTCACAGGAGGATGTCACTCGAGAAACGAGTGAGGGCAAGGAGTTGAGTGAGGGGAGGGGAACCGTGTGTGTGAGTGACGGGGTTATGGTGCTTGAGGAGGGAGATGTGATTATGGGGGAGGCAGGTACTACTGAGGGGGAAGCGGATGTGACTATGGGGGAAGCGGACATGAGTGTGATGGGAGGGGACCTCGTTATGGGGGAAGGGACAACAACTGTGGGGGGAGGGGGCATCAATGAAACGGAAGGAGAATCGAGAGGGAAGGAGGGAGAGAGGAGTGGGAAGGAGGGAGAAACGAGTGGGAAGGAGGGAGAGAGGAGTGGGAAGGAGGGAGAAACGAGTGGGAAGGAGGGAGAAACGAGTGGGAAGGAGGGAGAGAGGAGTGGGAAGGAGGGAGAGGCGAGTGGGGAGGAGGGAGAGACAAGCGGGAGGGAGGGAGAAACGAGTGGGAAAGAGGAGGATGCTACTATGGGAAAAGGCGATATGAGTGCAACGGAAGGAGAGGAAGGAGGCATGAGCATAGGGGAAGGCGAGGTGCAAGTGGTTTCAGAGAAAGGCTTTGAAGGTCACTTGATTGTGAATGATGGTCAGGGGGGAAGTGATTCTTGTGAAACGGTAGTCAGCGAGGGTCAAGGCGCAGACAGCGAGAGTCAAGGAGCAGTCAACGAGAGTCAAGGAGCAGTCAACGAGAGTCAAGGTGCAGTCAACGAGCATCAAGGAGCAGTCAACGAGAGTCAAGGTGCAGTCAACGAGCATCAAGGAGCAGTCAACGAGAGTCAAGGTGCAGTCAACGAGGGACAAGGTGTGGAGGGTGCGAGTCAAAGGGTTACAAGTGATGATCAAGTGCCAGTCAGCATGGGTCAACGCGCAGTCAGCATGGGTCAACGCGCAGTCAGCATGGGTCAACGCGCAGTCAGCATGGGTCAACGCGCAGTCAGCAATGATCAAGACGTGAGCAGCGGGGGTGAGAGTAGTGGGCGGATGCTCAATGAGCGTTCAGCAGAAGACCATGCGAGTCAGACACAGGTCGGTGGAGGTGAAGTGAAGGGGGCAGGGGGTGAAAGGGAAGCAAGGGCAGGTCAAACCGACCAATGTGGTGTGGATGGGTCGGATGAGGTGGAGTGGGAAGACGAGGCAGGCACGGACTGAATTTGTAGTGAGGGGTTGGGGGCCATCCACCCAGCCAGAGCAGGGATGCATGATCAGGCACGGCCTAATAAACTGTCAATGAAAGGACTTCAAACTTATATGATGTACATTTCAAAATATGTTGGCCGCATTATATTCTGTGGGAAGCCCATGTGAATCTCCACTCTGCTTGAACTAATATAAATTCTTGTTGCTTCGACACTACATTTCAGCACCGAAACAAAGTATATTGCACGAATGGTTGCTGCGGACTGCTGATGTCAGCGCCTGCTAAATGGTGGCGACGCCTTCAGCCATGGCGAGGCCGAGCGAGTCCTGAGAGACCTTCACGTACTCCACTCGCAAGTAGGGCAGCGACGGCAGCGAGAGGGGGATGGAGGGGTTGTCTGGGGGCGGGATTACCCCTGATGTCAGCGCCTGATGAGGGTGATGGGGTATGGGAGGAAAGGAGGGGAAAGAGGAAAGGGGGGAGAAATTAATCCCGATGTCAGCGTCTGATGCGGTGGATAATCCCAGATGTCAGCGCCGGCTGGGCTAGGGGAGAGAATCCATGGAGGGACATCTCGTCTCGCAAGGTCAGTTGCTGATGGACGTCCGTGATGGGGTAGGGAGGGGAGGTTGGCTGCTGATGCTTGCGCCGGATGGAGTGGGTGTGATGGGGTGGGGGTGGTGTGTGGGGAGGGGCGGGGGGGGTGGGGGGGGGAGGGAAGGGAAAGAAGCCAGTGGGAGGGTAGACTCGCAAGGTTAATTCCTTGCGGACATTTGTGATCGGGGAGGGCGGGACGTAATAAGGAGTTTTTGAGACGCCTCGAAAACTCCCTTTTATCACATGGGAAAAGGGGGAGGGGGGGAGGTGGGGGGGTGACTACTTTTGTTAGCGCCTGAAGGAGGAGGGGGGAAGGGTGTGACAGGGTGATTTGTTGGGAAGTTGGGGAAGGGGAGAGGGGGATGGGTGCCGCGTGCCGATGTCAGTGCCTACAATCTACGCGTGCCGATGTCAGTGCCTACAATCTACGCGTGCCGATGTCAGTGCCTACAATCTACGCGTGCCGATGTCAGTGCCTACAATCTACGCGTGCCGATGTCAGTGCCTACAATCTACGCGTGCCGATGTCAGTGCCTACAATCTATGCGTGCCGATGTCAGTGCCTACAATCTACGCGTGCCGATGTCAGTGCCTACAATCTACGCGTGCCGATGTCAGTGCCTACAATCTACGCGTGCCGATGTCAGTGCCTACAATCTACGCGTGCCGATGTCAGTGCCTACAATCTACGCGTGCCGATGTCAGTGCCTACAATCTACGCGTGCCGATGTCAGTGCCTACAATCTACGCGTGCCGATGTCAGTGCCTACAATCTACGCGTGCCGATGTCAGTGCCTACAATCTACGCGTGCCGATGTCAGTGCCTACAATCTACGCGTGCCGATGTCAGTGCCTACAATCTACGCGTGCCGATGTCAGTGCCTACAATCTACGCGTGCCGATGTCAGTGCCTACAATCTACGCGTGCCGATGTCAGTGCCTACAATCTACGCGTGCCGATGTCAGTGCCTACAATCTACGCGTGCCGATGTCAGTGCCTACAATCTACGCGTGCCGATGTCAGTGCCTACAATCTACGCGTGCCGATGTCAGTGCCTACAATCTACGCGTGCCGATGTCAGTGCCTACAATCTACGCGTGCCGATGTCAGTGCCTACAATCTACGCGTGCCGATGTCAGTGCCTACAATCTACGCGTGCCGATGTCAGTGCCTACAATCTACGCGTGCCGATGTCAGTGCCTACAATCTACGCGTGCCGATGTCAGTGCCTACAATCTACGCGTGCCGATGTCAGTGCCTACAATCTACGCGTGCCGATGTCAGTGCCTACAATCTACGCGTGCCGATGTCAGTGCCTACAATCTACGCGTGCCGATGTCAGTGCCTACAATCTACGCGTGCCGATGTCAGTGCCTACAATCTACGCGTGCCGATGTCAGTGCCTACAATCTACGCGTGCCGATGTCAGTGCCTACAATCTACGCGTGCCGATGTCAGTGCCTGCAATCTACGCGTGCCGATGTCAGTGCCTACAATCTACGCGTGCCGATGTCAGTGCCTACAATCTACGCGTGCCGATGTCAGTGCCTACAATCTACGCGTGCCGATGTCAGTGCCTACAATCTACGCGTGCCGATGTCAGTGCCTACAATCTACGCGTGCCGATGTCAGTGCCTACAATCTACGCGTGCCGATGTCAGTGCCTACAATCTACGCGTGCCGATGTCAGTGCCTACAATCTACGCGTGCCGATGTCAGTGCCTACAATCTACGCGTGCCGATGTCAGTGCCTACAATCTACGCGTGCCGATGTCAGTGCCTACAATCTACGCGTGCCGATGTCAGTGCCTACAATCTACGCGTGCCGATGTCAGTGCCTACAATCTACGCGTGCCGATGTCAGTGCCTACAATCTACGCGTGCCGATGTCAGTGCCTACAATCTACGCGTGCCGATGTCAGTGCCTACAATCTACGCGTGCCGATGTCAGTGCCTACAATCTACGCGTGCCGATGTCAGTGCCTACAATCTACGCGTGCCGATGTCAGTGCCTACAATCTACGCGTGCCGATGTCAGTGCCTACAATCTACGCGTGCCGATGTCAGTGCCTACAATCTACGCGTGCCGATGTCAGTGCCTACAATCTACGCGTGCCGATGTCAGTGCCTACAATCTACGCGTGCCGATGTCAGTGCCTACAATCTACGCGTGCCGATGTCAGTGCCTACAATCTACGCGTGCCGATGTCAGTGCCTACAATCTACGCGTGCCGATGTCAGTGCCTACAATCTACGCGTGCCGATGTCAGTGCCTACAATCTACGCGTGCCGATGTCAGTGCCTACAATCTACGCGTGCCGATGTCAGTGCCTACAATCTACGCGTGATAGCAACAGTGTGAGCGCATGACCGTTCACCCCTACAAGCACCTCCACACTCACGACTGCAAGCACAACCTAACTCAGCGCAGGGAGGCTTGGAAAATGATGTCCTTGCGTCTCCTAGATAATAGTTGCTCGCCATTCTCAATGACATTCCGTCACCTATGAGCACATTCTTAGCGATCCAGGCACTTCCACAGTTCTTTAGGAGCGAGAGACCAGGAATTAGGTTCGGTTTTCATTTTTTGTGTTCACCACATCAGCCAACGATTTCTCTGTTTGCACGTAGGTTGTATTCTCGGATTAGATCCAGGCTATTCCAACTAGGTTCCAGGTCCCTTAATCGTCGTCTATGTATCGTGAACGATTTCGTTGTTTATGAGCCATCCATTTACAAGCAGAACACTCTCATCCGTTGTTTATCAGCTTTCCTTTAAACACGATGGCACTAGAACGTCACAGCTCTAGAGAACCGGCCTTCCGCAAAAGTACGCTTTGAAGGCAAAATTTGTTAGTGCATGGATGCAAATGGGGTCCATATACCGTTGCCTTCAAAGAGTACCTTTGCCGAAGTCCCGATCTCTAAGGCTGTGATGTTCTAGTACCATCGTGTCTTGAAGGAAGTTGATAACACAGAGGTTAAGAGCGTTCGGCTTGTAAATGGATGGCTTCGAAACAATGAAATTGTTCACGATTCAAAGACGACGAATAAAAGACCTGGAAACAATTGGAATAGCCTAGATCCAATCCGAGAACACAACCTACGTGCAAACAGAAAAAGGGTTGGCTGATGTGGTGAACAATAAAAATGAAATCCGAACCTAATTCCTGGTCTCTCGCTCCTAAAGAAGAGATGAAATGCTTGGATAATCTGTCATGTCACCATAAATCGCTAAGAAAGAGCTCACCGGTGAAAGAACTTCGGTAAGTAAGAATGATGAGCAACTCCTATTTAGGAGACTCAAGGACATCATTTTTCGAGACTGAAAGGTGGGTTGGAGTCAAGGCAGTTGCCTTCACCTCCCACTCTTCGTCGCATTTAAGCCTCACCTCATTCACACTCGTCTCTGTCACACCAGTACATAAAAGGCCTGAAATTGCACCCCTATGAGCGCATGTCCGCTCATTTGGGCGGCACGGATTGCGTCGATGCAGTTGCCCCCCACCTGCCCACCGTTCACCTTTCAATGAACACTCAACTCTGTAAGAACCTCTAAAAAAACTCCTTCTCTGCTCCTCACTCCAGCACCTTCACCACACTCACCCCTATTCCTCCTCATTCTAGCACCTTCGCCACGCTCACCCCTATTCCTCCTCACTCTAGCCCCTTCGCTACAGTCACCCCTCCTCACTCTAGCACCTTCGGTACATTCACCCCTATTCCTCCTCACTTTAGCACCTTCGCTACAGTCACCCCTATTCCTCCTCACTCTAGCACCTTCGCTACAGTCACCCCTATTCCTCCTCACTCCAGCACCTTCACCACGCTCACCCCTATTCCTCCTCACTCTAGCACCTTGGCTAAAGTCACCCCTATTCCTCCTCACTCTAACACCTTCGCCACGCTCACCCCTATTCCGCCTCACTCTAGCCCCTTCGCTACAGTCACCCCTCCTCACTCTAGCACCTTCGGTGCATTCACCCCTATTCCTCACTTTAGCACCTTTGCTACAGTCACCCCTATTCCTCCTCACTCTAGCACCTTCGCTACAGTCACCCCTATTCCTCCTCACTCTAGCACCTTCGCTACAGTCACCCCTATTCCTCCTCACTCCAGCACCTTCGCCACGCTCACCCCTATTCCTCCTCGCTCTAGCACCTTCGCTAAAGTCACCCCTATTCCTCCTCACTCTAGCACCTTCGCCACGCTCACCCCTATTCCTCCTCACTCTAGCCCCTTCGCTACAGTCACCCCTCCTCACTCTAGCACCTTCGGTACATTCACCCCTATTCCTCCTCACTCTAGCACCTTCGCTACAGTCACCCCTATTCCTCCTCACTCTAGCACCTTCGCTACAGTCACCCCTATTCCTCCTCACTCTAGCACCTTTGCCACGCTCACCCCTATGAGCGCCCCACTCACCCCTATGAGCGCCGCAGTCACCCCTATGAGCGCCGCACTCACCCCTATGAGCGCCGCACTCACCCCTATGAGCGCCGCACTCACCCCTATGAGCGCCGCACTCACCCCTATGAGCGCCGCACTCACCCCTATGAGCGCCTGCCCGCTTATTAGGGTGGCAGGGATGGCGTCGCTGCAGTTGCCCTCCCACGGACTTGGCTTGCCTGACGGCCCCACACTGAGCACCACCCACTCCTTGCCTTCCCTGTGCGTCAATCTGTGGTGGAGAGCAGCAGCGAGGGGCGGAGAGGGACATAGTGGGATGGAATGGGGCAGAATGGGGATTTATTTGCACGAGAGAGTACTCTCAAGGATACCCACTTGTTCCCGTCCCTGTGGGTGTGTCCATGTGTAGGGTCAACAGAGGTAGAGAGGGTTGCTGAGGAGTTGGGTGGATAGAGGATCAAGGTTTTGCATTGTGACAACAGCTGGACACAGCCACTTCATTTTCTCTCCGTGTTACTTAGTGGGGTGAGCGGGGGTGGAAACGGATGCTGTGCTGTTCAGTGGGTGGGGTTGGAAATGATGTGGAGCTTGTAACAAGATGTCACAAATGTGGATCTAACGGATGAGAAGAGAATTAAGTACCATGTGAAGTAAGACAGGTCACTTATATGTGCTCACAGAATTGTTTGGTCGCATGCAGGTTTGTTTTACCTTAGAACGCTCTCCGACTCTGCTTGTAGTGCTGCGTCCTTGAAATGGTTGTGCTTACTGCACTCATTAACGTTTCGCCTCTCACACACACAGCGAGATTGCGTGAAAACGCACATCCATACGCGGACACAGACAAGCACGCACCCTCCCACACGCACCCACCACCGCTTTCCCTCACCAGCAATACACACTCGCACAAACACACACACACACACACACACACGCACACACACACACACACACACACACACACACACACACGCACACACACACACATGCACACACAAACACGCAAACGTTCGTGCACGTACGCACGCACGCCCACACACCCACACGCGCGCACGAAGTATGAAAAAAATAATGAAAAAAATAATGCAGACTCTGCAAGTGTCTTAAACTTTCAATCAACTCAAGTCACATGAAGTATGAACTCCAGAAGGGATCGGACTCGGCATACACTGAAATGATAATAATGCACCCCCTTCTTTCATGTGCCATTCGAAGCCTGAAAGAAAATTCTGACAATTGCTAGTGAGGGCATCACCAGTGAGTGAGTGCTAGTGCGAGCCTCAGTGCCTCACCATTGCTGCACGAGTTTGGCAATCTCCACAAAGCAGTCTGTGAACTTGACTTTGAGCAGGATCATGCCGCCCACTGTCTTGATGTTCTGATTGGAGGGTAGGGGAGGGTGAGATGATGAGAGGGAAAGGAGGATGTGAGAGGGAGGAAAGTGAACTTGACTTTGAGCAAAAACATGCTGGAATGGCTTGATGTATGAATCAGCAGCAGGCGGCAAAACGACTAAGGGCAACAGGTGAGTAGCACACATGAGAAAACAAAGGGCCGTTGGTGGAGCAGCTTGGAGCTGCTTTCACTCGGTAGGGACTAGAGACGCGAGCCAAGACAGATTAGGGGGGATGAAACAGAGCATGTACGAAGAGGAAATGGGCGATTGTGGAACAGCTGGGTGTTGTAAATCGCCTACAAGGACACATGGCTAGAGGCGAATGAGAAGCAGGACGTACGAAGGCGAAGGGAGAGATTGTGGAGGCGAAGGGAGAGATTGTGGAGGCGAAGGGAGAGATTGTGGAGGCGAAGGGAGAGATTGTGGAGGCGAAGGGAGAGATTGTGGGGTTGGACGAGGGATGAGTGGATGCAAGAGCGCGGAGAGGAAGGACGTACGAAAATGAAGGGGGCGTTGGTGGCGGGCCGGTGCCTCGCAGTACCCTGAGAGGGGATGGAGGAAGGACAGTGAGGGGAATGATGGGGGGCAGGGGTTGAGGGGATGGCGCAGTGGGAGGGCGGGGTGGAAAGCAGATGGCACAGAAAGGGGGCGTGGGATGGGGAGGACAATGGTGAGATGGCGTGAGAATGAAGGGGAGGGTAGTGGGAGGACCGTGGGGAAGAGACAACAAAGTGAGGGGTGGGTGGGGGGGAAAGGCGACAGCGGAGTGAGAGTTTGTGCGGAGTTAGGGGGGGCGGGAAGGGAAGCGAGAGAGCCGCAGAGTGGCAGTGCCGGCTGGGTCCAGAACATGGTTTGACCATTCTCAGAGCGGATTACGCCAACTGAACTGCCCACAACATACTATCCTTGGGGCGAACGGGGAGAGGAGCTTTGGGGGTTCTGAGGCTGAATCTGACCGCATGCGTAACAGGAATCGACTGGAGTAGCTTGTTGGTGACTTACCGCTTTCTCTGCGATGTATCTGCATTCCCACGCCACAATGGAGGAGACAAGCAAAGGCAGTGTTGGGAGGAAGGAAGCAGCACAAGGAGTATGAGTAACAGTACCAGGAATCTAGCTTAGCTGAAGGCTCGGATGAGCATGAGGTTTGACGCGAGGCTCGGATGAGCATGAGGTTTGACGCGAGGCTCGGATGAGCATGAGGTTTGACGCGAGGCTCGGATGAGCATGAGGTTTGACGCGAGGCTCGGATGAGCATGAGGTTTGACGCGAGGCTCGGATGAGCAAGAGGTTTGACGCAAGGGTCATGTGCTGAGAGTTCTGTGGTTCCAGTAGAGTTACTTGTGTGACGAATGTGCGGGTGGACCTTGCTGGGTGCAGAAGCGCTTGTTCACTCAGGCGACATGAGCTTTGGTTCAATCAGACCAGCCGGCGCGAGTAGTTCCACTATAACTCGACCCGCACTGCCCGCATACTGCACACACTGCCCGCATACTGCACACACTGTCCCTGTCCGCACTGCTCGCATTGCTCGCACTGCACGCTCCGCCCGCACGTTCTGTCCACACTCCTCGCACTGCCTGCACACTGACGCCACCTTTCTATGCTCGTAGAAGCGAGCTAGAGTGGTCGAGCTAGAAGCGCGACTCACTTTGAAGCGGTCGAGCTCACCGCGATCGGACGAGGAAGAGGACGAAGGCGATGAGCGACACGATGCACATCGTCCACGCGAGGCACGGAATCGACAATCGCGACGATCGCGACGGCGGTTTCCGGCCCTTGGATCGCTGCAGCAGCTCGGAAGGCTTCATCCGAGCCATTGAAAAACCGTGGAACTAATGTCTGAGCGCTCGAGGTAGTGACGACAGGCGCAGCGCTCGAGGCTATCTGGATTCGGACTTGGAGAGGAAGCTCCGAAAAACTATGGAGAACAGGCAAGAAGAGATATCAAAACAGAACTAGCGTTCATCTAGAGAGCGTTCATATCGACAATTTGTAAAAAATGATAGATAATGGTTTTCGAGCTATTCACTACATAACACATAATGGGATGCTCCATGGGCGGATGCGCCCTACTTGATGGACATGCGGGTGTAGAGGTTGGGGGTGGTGTTAGATAAGCTCGTCGTCGTAGTGTTTCCCCTACGTTTTGTGCTCCGGCATCTTATTGTGTCATCATCTTGCCGTCCTATCACTGTTATGAATGAACTTGCAGAGTGCGCAGTAAAACGAATATCGAGAATGAACTGAGTACTGAATTGAATCACTGAATGACCAATGAAGTAGCGAGGCCTAAATAGGGGAAAAGCTAGCTAGGCGGGGAGGTTGAGCGAGGATGGCTCGGTGATGGTTGCGATTGGAGCGGAGGCCGACTCGGGAGTGGTTCGGTGCGACGAAATAGGAAGGCCAGGTTCGTCGCGTGACCCTCGGGATGGCCTCGCTAACGAGTGCCTCAGTAAGGATTTGTAAATCCTTACACTCTCCCACCTTCTAAATAAGGCAGCCCTGTACTGAAACAGGCCCCACACTAGCAAGGATGCCGTAGATCTTCACTTCAGCTGAATCCGACGGCTGAAATGCCTTTGACATTTTTTTTGAAAAGGTTGGAATGTAGGCCGTTGATGAAGTACGATTTCGATCTGACGGTCGAAGATGAACTGGCCCAATATGAAGTAGAGGTTGGAATGTGGGCCGTTGATCGAGTAAGTGCGAATCTGACGGTCGAGGCAGATGCGATTTTGGAGGGAACAGACTGACGCGAAATTCAACCGCGATGTTGCAGAAACCGTTGATCGTGTCGGTGTGATCGCGATCGTCCGTCGTGCTGACGCAACCTGACAAAGTCAAGAAGAAACTCGAGAAAACACCAAGGAAAGAAATAGTGCCGAGCACTTTCTCCTCCCCTCCAAGAAAAACACCAAAATGTTTCCCGCAGCTGCGCCGAGAAGAAAACCAACAAAAATCCAGGTGTTAAGTCCCACTGAAGCGAATGTCGAGCGTAGAAAGCCAGGTGAAGACTCGTCGGTGTGGAAAGTCGATGACGAATGCCAGGTGTTACGTGCCCAAAAATTCTTCGAGGGCGAACCCGCGTAAGTAGACTAGAAACCACGGCAGAAATTATGCGTTGCTCGAACTGAACCTGTTTTCGTCTTCTCGTGCCAGAATCCTGCAGTATCTTCAGCAGTTGCAGCTGGCAGCACCTGACGTGGTCAGAAATAAATGTAGTTGTCGTGGGCTGATCGGGTGGATGGGTTTGTCGCTAGTAGAGTTGGAATGGTAGTATCCCGAAATCCTCTGGCCGTAAAATCGGGAATGTTACGAGTGTCGTCGAAGTCGGCGATCGAAGGCGATTGGCAGCGAACCTGATATCGAGAGATGGCGAAGGTCGTCAGAGTAGTAACCGTACCGAAAATCATTCTGGTCGAAGTTGCCGAATGCTGTTCCGTGTCGAATGACGTCACCACCTCCGGCGGGTTTGTCCAGACACGCCGAATCCTTTGTCGTAATGCGCCGAGGGCTCCTGGGCAGAGATGAAAAATTGCAGCTGTCTCTCCCCCCCTCCACTGTTGCTGCTGCCACCTCCAGTTCGTCGTAAGTCGTTCGTACCCCTGAAAACATCCGTGTAGTTCTCGCGGTGTTGCCCCAAGTAATTGTTGCGCGCGTTTAACCGAACTCCGAATTCTCCTCCGAAATTGTCGGCGCTCCTTGCCGTAAAACCAGTAAGTCCCCACGTAAAAACTCCGAAATAGCCGCTCGAATCAAGCCCCGTAAACCCGCAGTTGTAGTTGCAGTTCGCCTCCGAAAACCTCGGACGTGCTATAGCCGCCCACTCGGTCACCATCAGTTTCCTTTAGTTTACCCGACCCCAGCATGTGGGTACAATCGAGAACCGGGGACTGCCATGGGTTATTCCGAGACCGAATTTCACGGAACCTAGTAGCATCAACGCCGTTGACGTCGGAGTCGAAAACTGCTTCCGCCGATGCTGTTTAACAAAAACCTACGTTTCTCCCACCAGCGCTTTGCAGATGTTTCGCCGCATCGCTCGTCGCCGGTCGATAAGTTCCCGAAGCTACGACTGCTCCCACGCTCCCTTTTTTCTGAAGAATTTCCCGAGGTATGTGTTTAAACACCGGGGGTCCTAGGCATCCTTGCCGCTGTGTTCCTTGCCAGGCAACTTCGAAAAGTGCCCTTCAGGCTCCCCCAACGACTCAACCGCACTCCAAGAAGCGAAGAAATACCCGCAGCTTCACAATTTTTTTGGTCGTTTCACCCCCCGACAATTCCGCTTCCCGCCGTTCACCCAGCGTCCGCATTTTTCGGATGGGGTATAGTCGGTGTTGCCCGCGCGAACCCAGCCACGGTGGAGGGGCGAAAACTATCGGAGTCGGGGACCCTTAATTAAAAGGAACAGTCGCCCAACCGTTTTGCAGCCCACAGCGACCGTCACGCCACTAAACTCCACAGCATCCCGGTCCCCGCTTCGCCGCTGCGTCGTCCTCTCGTGTAGACGCCCGGGTCAGGAGAAACCAGCGAACTGCACCGTTGTTGTCATGCGGCGCCCCGGTTTTTTCGCGTGCTGTTTCACCCAGCCCGCTTTTGTCGGAGTAGAGCAGCGCCGCAACTTCCCTTTTTTGTTTTTTTTTTCTGTACAGCTGTTGAACGAGCACCAATCCAGGTACCTTTAACCAGCACAGGGTAGGCCCGTGTTCACCCCCGTTATTCGGCCAAGTAAGTTGACTGCATGAGTCAGAACTAAAACTTGGTGGGGATGGTGAGGTTCGGGCGACGGAAGGTCACAGGCCGTTCACACCGGCTTTTAACCTGCCCTTCACGCCGTTTCTCGACCCCCGCTTAGCCGTCGGGCAGTTTCTTCCCTTGTGTCCCGGCGGCCTGTACCGTCTCCTCCGTAAATGTCGGGGCAGTACGTTGAACGCCGTTTAATCGTGGGTCGCTTGCAGCTGTCCCCGAAAACGACTTCTCTGGTAGGAGAAACCGCTCTCGAAACTGCCGGCCAGCTTGCAACAACTCCAGGCACGCAGCGTCGCACGAGTCGTTCTCCGAGGTTACCGGCCCCGGTTTCCCTCGTCGCCTGCGCCCTTCTTCTGCTAAGTGCGATATGGCCACTCCGCTTTTCGTTGCAGCCCGTAAGTGTCGGCGGGTCCGAAAATCCCGTCTGTCCACGTGCACTCCTGCCGAAATCTTCGATGACGCGCCCGCCATGCAGTAAAAGCCGCTGCACTTCAGGTCGGGCGGGACGGCAGTTAACTCCCGCTAAGTCGGGCAGTTTAGTGTCGTCTCTCCTCGTCCACCGATATTTTCGGACGCAAACTCCATTTGCGCCTGGCGAGTTCCCCAGCCGACATTTCTTCAACAGAAGCTCCGAAAATGTCGCCCTTGCTGACGCAGGCCCTTTGTCGCCTGCTGCCGAAGATCTTTCCGAAATCTTCGCGTAACTGTTGACTCAGGTTCGCCGGCGTCAACAGCCACACACAGTGACGACGTCGAGGCTGTTCATGCAGATGCCGACGCAGGTCCGCTGACGCCAGCTGCCACACGAATAAACCTCCGAAATCGTCGGTAATTCGCAGCGGAAATTACTCACTTTAATGTCGCGACAGCTACTGCTGTCCGTTGCCCGGGGGGAGGGAGGCCACGGTCGATCGCGACCGTTCGAGGCAAGGATCCGGCGGTGCCGAGGAATGCACGATAAATCCATGGCCGCGAAGAGCAACTAACATCGAATACCAGGTGTTATGAATGAACTTGCAGCTTGCGCAGTAAAACGAATATCGAGAATGAACTGAGTACTGAATTGAATCACTGAATGAACAATGAAGTAGCGAGGCCTAAATAGGGGAAAAGCTAGCTAGGCGGGGAGGTTGGGCGAGGATGGCTCGGTGATGGTTGCGATTGGAGCGGAGGCCGACTCGGGAGTGGTTCGGTGCGACGAAATAGGAAGGCCAGGTTCGTCGCGTGACCCTCGGGATGTCCTCGCTAACGAGTGCCTCAGTAAGGATTTGTAAATCCTTACAATCACCCTCCCCTTGCCATCCCTAATTTTTTGCCCTCTCGTTCTGTTGTCTTGCTACACTTTGAATAAAGGCATATAGGGATGAAATGCACTACAATACATACAAAATATATAATATCCAAGTTGAGTACTTGTGTACCTGCAAGGTAATACACTAAACACATCCTGCGAATCACAACGCGTTCCATCGGTCAGATAATCGAGTTACCACACCGGAAACGCGATCCAGGAGTCAAGCAATGCGTCTTACCGTACCGAAACGCATGGTACAGGTGAGAACCATGGTCTTCGTTTTCGAATGCGAATTGCACCGAACACTTTTTTTGCATTCACGAGTAGCCGTAGCGCCTGCGAAGTCATTTTGCGCGACACCGTCAATCACAAATCCCAACTCACAGCTCCGCACCTCCCGCCAACTCTCAAGCATTCCCTCACATTCACCATCTGCTGGTTCAACTGATTGCCTTTGCTATTTCGAGATTTGTACCTCTCCAGTTTCCTGTTACGAGAACGAAAGTGCAGCTTCTCTGAAGTTTTTCACGCTGTATCTTTGAGCTCCTTGCGTTGTCTGTCATTTTAACGTAGCACTCTGAGCCCCTTGCGCTTAGTACAAGCTGTACTTTGGACGCTAAAATCCCGGCAGTCGCTTTGGGCCGCTCATCCGATAAGATGTGAGATCCCCTGAAGCTACAACGGCTGCTAAAAATCGGCATCGCGAGCGACGGAAACACTATCCGCGGCCGCGGAGACACCTAACAGCCGTATTAGCGGCGACATCGCCGAAAAACGCAAGCGCGGCGACAACGCAATCGCAGCAACAGCGCAAGCGCAACGCGTGCGACACCGGCGGCAGCACGAGTAGCGGCGACGCCGGCGCGGCGACGTCATTGGCAGGCAGCAAGCAACATGAAGAGCATCAGCATCGGCGTCATGGTTTCGCGCGGCGCGCCGGCGCCGGTTGTGGCGCGATGCTCTGGCTTCGTGCTCGTTGCACTGGCTGCTTTCATGCTCTCAGGTATGATGCTCTCATGCTCTCACTTTACTCTCATGCTCTCACTTTACTCTCATGCTCTCACTTTACTCTCATGCTCTCACTTTACTCTCATGCTCTCACTTTACTCTCATGCTCTCACTTTACTCTCATGCTCTCACTTTACTCTCATGCTCTCACTTTACTCTCATGCTACTTTACTCTCATGCTCTCACTTTACTCTCATGCTCTGACTTTACTCCCATGCTCTCACTTTACTCCCATGCTCTCACTTTACTCTCATGCTCTCACTTTACTCTCATGCTCTCACTTTACTCTCATGCTGTCACTTTATTCTCATGCTCTCACTTTACTCTCGTGCTCTCACTCTACTCTCAAGCTATCAGTATTATTAACATCATGCTCTCACTATTCTCTCATGCTCTTAAATTCTCATGCTATCACATGCCCTCACTGTATTCTCAGATGCTCTCGTATACTCTTATGCTCCCACTGTATTCTGGTGCTCTCGCCGGTATACGCTCATGACCTCACTGTATTCTGGTGCTCTCACCATACTCTCGTGATCTCACTATCATACTCTGACGTGCTCTCAGGTTTTCCTCCACTTTCCTTCCTCCCCTTTTCCCCCTTTTTCCAGCTTTCCCCATTAAAAAAAAGTCATATTTTTTCGCAAGCTGATCAGGGCTGCCCTTCGCTTCCCCTAGCTTATCATTCCATCCTCCTCCCCCGGCTCCCCTCCCACCTTCCCCCTTCCTCTCCCTCCCACGCACCCGTTCTCAGCATGTGCGCCCAGGGCTGCTGCAGTCATCCTCCAACCTGCAAGTAAGCCTGTACAGAAGAACACGACGAGTTTTTTCGTCATCTCTCTTTCCTCTTGTCGATGTTCTTTCTGTTCCTTCCACATGATATCCGTTCTTCTTCTCGCACCTCGCCCTCTCCTCCTTTCTGTACCTCTCTTCCTATCTGTCCCTTTTTAAAATCTCGTTTCTAATTCAAATCCTCGCCCCGGCCCTCCTTGCATAATCTCGGTTTTGCAGACCCTCATTTCGCGTCCCCTGCACCCATCCTTTCCCTCACCCAGCATGTGATATTAAGGGCTGTAGTGCGAACAGCACGTGTGACATGACTACTGGAGTGCCCACCTGTGTTTGCGACTCTGGTTTCGTGCTGCAGTCGGATGGCAGGACGTGCATCGGTAGGTGCTGAGTGTCGTGACTCTGTGCTCAAGGGCTGCTCTGTGCTGCCTCTAGCATGTGGCGCTAGTTCCTGCGATCGCATAGTTCTCTCAACTTTCCTTTCACATCCCTTCGTTTGTTGTTCAAATTCCTTTCCTAACACCCTTCGTGTCACGTCCCCTCCAACTTTCCCGTCCCCTCTCGTCGGCCTCTTCTCCCACCCAGATGCCTGCTATTTCAAGCGTTGTGGTGCAAACGGCACCTGTGTCAAGAACGGTGGAGTGGCCTCGTGTGTGTGTGACTCTGGTTTCGTGCTGCAGTCGGATGGCAGGACGTGCATCGGTAGGTGCTGAGTGTCGTGACTCTGTGCTCAAGGGCTGCTCTGTGCTGCCTCTAGCATGTGGCGCTAGTTCCTGCGATCGCATAGTTCTCTCAACTTTCCTTTCACATCCCTTCGTTTGTTGTTCAAATTCCTTTCCTGACACCCTTCGTGTCACGTCCCCTCCAACTTTCCCGTCCCCTCTCGTCGGCCTCTTCTCCCACCCAGATGCCTGCTATTTCAAGCGTTGTGGTGCAAACGGCACCTGTGTCAAGAACGGTGGAGTGGCCTCGTGTGTGTGTGACTCTGGTTTCGTGCTGCAGTCAGATGGCAAGACGTGCATAGGTAGGTGTTGAGTGTTGTGCCTCAAGGTGCTGAGTGTTGTGCCTCAAGGTGCTGAGTGTTGTGCCTCAAGGTGCTGAGTGTTGTGCCTCAAGGTGTTGAGTGTTGTGCCTCAAGGTGCTGAGTGTTGTGCCTCAAGGTGCTGAGTGTTGTGCCTCAAGGTGCTGAGTGTTGTGCCTCAAGGTGCTGAGTGTTGTGCCTCAAGGTGCTGAGTGTTGTGCCTCAAGGTGCTGAGTGTTGTGCCTCAAGGTGCTGAGTGTTGTGCCTCAAGGTGCTGAGTGTTGTGCCTCAAGGTGCTGAGTGTTGTGCCTCAAGGTGTTGAGTGTTGTGCCTCAAGGTGCTGAGTGTTGTGCCTCAAGGTGCTGAGTGTTGTGCCTCAAGGTGCTGAGTGTTGTGCCTCAAGGTGCTGAGTGTTGTGCCTCAAGGTGCTGAGTGTTGTGCCTCAAGGTGCTGAGTGTTGTGCCTCAAGGTGCTGAGTGTTGTGCCTCAAGGTGTTGAGTGTTGTGCCTCTGTTTATAAGGGCTTCTCTGTGCGTGTTGACATACCTCGTGCAGCTGTGAGCTGCATGTGGCATTGCCTTTTCCCCCTCCCTTTGTATCCCTTTCTGAATTCTCGTTTTTGGGGAATCCGTGGCTTTGCTTCTTCTTTTGAGTCGACTCAAAAGCAGAATCCGTGGCTTTGCTTCTTCCAACAAATGTCTTGATTCCCACTGCCCCTTTTCTCTCGCCCCCTCCATTCCACCTCTCCTCTCTCCTCGGCTTCCCTTCCCACCCCAGATGCCTGCATTGTTCAGGGCTGTAGTGCGAACGGCACCTGTGTCAAGACCAATGGAGTGGCATCCTGTGTGTGTGACTCTGGTTTCGTGCTGCAGGCTGACAACAAGACGTGCACTGGTACGTGCTGACTGTTGTGTCTTGGTTCTCAAAGGCTGCTATGTGTTCACAGGTCTACGTCGTGTAGCTGTGTGCTGCCTCTACTATGCAGCAGTAGTTCCGGTTGCTGCACTGTTTCCTCATCTCTCCTTTTGCATCCCTCTTTCTATGTGCGTTACGGGGTCAATCCCGTCACCGCCCCTCTTACAAGAATCTGAATTCTTCCCCCCCCACCCCCCCCCTCCGTTTCACGTCCCTTCCACCCATCCTATCTCCTCTCCATCGTCTTTTACCCTACACAGATGCCTGCAAGATCCAGGGCTGTGGGGCGAACAGCACCTGTGTCAAGACCAATGGAGTGCCCTCCTGTGTGTGTGACTCTGGTTTCGTGCTGCAGGCTGATGGCAGGGCGTGCGTTGGTAGGTGCTGGGTGTTGAGCCACAGTGATCACGGGCTGCTGTGTGCTAAATGATCTCCTCATGCAACGGCCGGTCCTGTTTGCTTAGTTTCTTGGTGCAATCATGGCCCTTACCTCCTTACCCTTCATGCTCCTCTTGACAGCATCTTAATTTCCACCACCCTACCTTCTACGTCCCTTCCACCCCACCTCTCCCTCTCCTCCCCCTCTTCCTCTGTCCAGATGCCTGCAAGATTCAGGGTTGTGGTGCGAACAGCACCTGTGTGAAGACTGATGGAGTGCCATCCTGTGTTTGCAACTCTGGTTTCGTGCTGCAGGCTGATGGCAGGACGTGCATTGGTAGGTGTTGAGTGCTGTGCCACTCTGTTCAATGGCATCTGCGTGCTGCCTCCAGCATGAGTCAGTCGATCCTGTCAGTGCAGCGTTGTCTCCATTTTGCGTCCCAACATGAAAAGAAAAGAAAGTCCAATTCTGGTCCCGCCTTTACTCACAAAGTTCTGATCCCTCCATCCCTCATTCAACGTCTCCTCTACCCCTCATTTCTCATCTCCTCTATATATTTCCCCGTCCAGATGCCTGCAAGATTCAGGGCTGTCGTACTTACAGCACCTGTGTCAAAACCGATGGAGTGGCCTCCTGTGTGTGTGACTCTGGTTACGTGCTGCAGTCGGATGGCAGGACGTGCATCGGTAAGTGCTGAGTGTCGTGACTCTGTGCTCAAGGGCTGCTCTGCGCGTGTTGATCTACCTCATGCAGCTGTGAGCTGCTTCTAGCATGTAGTACTTATTCCTGGGATCGCATAGTTTCTTCAGATCTCCTATTGCATCATCTTCTAGAAATCAGTTTCTGGTGGCCTCCACTCTCCCGGCAGAATCGGGACTCCCACCATCTCTTGTTTCACGTCCCCTCCCACCGTGCTCTCCCCTCTCTTCCGCCTTCTCTCAGATGCCTGCAGGGTTCTGCGTTGTGGCTCATACAGCCGCTGTGTCAAGACCAATGGAGTGGCGTCCTGTGTTTGCTACACTGGTTACGTGCTGCAGTCAGATGGCAGGACGTGCAAGTAGTCCGTAGGAGGTGGGTGATAGTTTGCTGCTTCCAGTGCCAATGCTTACACTGATGTTATACGTCCCTAACACCTAGTTTGAAATGAATTGTTGTCTCTCCCCTCACCGAGATGCCTACGAGGACGTGAGCTGTTGTAAGAACAGGCACTGCCTCAATGGTTGTAGCGCTTATCGATAACCCAGGCTAAATGGTTTATCTATTTTGCAGCCTTAATCCTATGCCTGAGACGTCTCAATTTATTCCTCATTCCCTCACACCCTTTCCAATCCGTTTTTCATCCCTCTCCTTCCAACAGCCAAGCTCCCTTTGGAATAGTGGCACTCTTATGTCTGCAAAACTCTTTATGGATCGTGGCAGCTTCCATCCAAATCTATAGGAGGGGATACAGACATAAATTCTTATTCCCCCTCTTCTCTTGCTTTGTTCGGTTACTTCATTTTATACTCGTTTTTTCTATGGTTGTATTTCCTTGTGTGCATTTCGTTGAAGTGGTTGAGTGAAACCTGCTGGTTGTTAAAACTTGAATATTGTTGGAAACAAGTAATCTAGGCGCTTCTATTGTGTGTTGAAACGACTAAGTCGTAAACGAGGTGAAGCACAACGAAGCATCGGCGAGTCAACACTTGGAGGTTGAGAAGAAAAGCAACCGCTGGAGGTTACGCGAAGGTCAAAGGTCAGCGACCTTTGACCTGACAAATACAACGCGACAGCAAGGACAAACAACAGACTCGTTACTGAGCAGTTGCCCGAGTCGACACTGTATCGAACCGCAACAGCAACAGTAAAACAGTTATTAGCTGTGTCTCTTCGTATTCCTTGTACTTTTATAAAAACCATGTATTTTCGTTGTTTTAATCAATCTACTTTGCCCTCATATACCAGCGCAAGGTGGTTCAATGACTTATCATTAAACGCTTCCGCTATCACAACTTCCTACTCAGAGTTAGTCCTGCAAAGATCCTAAGGGCTTTTCTCAACCCAACATGGTATGAGAGCTATCAATGCAAACTCAACACTATTAAGACACCAACAACGACAAAAGGCATGGCAACACAAAAGGAGAGAAGTTCCTCTAATGGTTCTCCCGGTACTATTCCTACCCCACCTCCTGCCTCTGGCCTATAGACAGAGGAAGGCACGGCAACAAGACCAGCAGCAGGGTCTACTGAAAATCCTGCGAATCAACCTGCAGGCTTCGACCCAAGCATGATGGAGATTTTTTTCTCCTTCATGTCACTCTACGAATAACACCAGCAAGCGGCACCTGTGCAGTCAAACATCAACAACAACAACGATGTGACACCGATGAGCCTTGACGGTTTATCCTACGCGCGAGGAAATCAGCAACAGCAGCCTACCTTCGCCCCGTACGAACCCCAGCGCGGTTCCGTCAGCTTCAAGAGAAGCGGGATCACCAGACAAACGTGGCTCGGACCCGTCCTAAGAGAGCGCCCCAGAAGACAGGAAGAGGCGTGGAGATCCCTAGTGGAGAACAGCCTTTCAACCAGGAGGTCCATCGGCAGCAGGAAGAAGAGCTGGAGCCGAGGAGGGGGCAAGTGGGAAAGGCTGGGCCAAGGACCCAAGGCATAAAGAGGGAACTGAGGAACTTGATGGGGTGAAGAGAGAAAGAGGCTTAGAGAAGCATCACTAAAAGGGGCAGACACAGAAAGAGAAGTATGGAGAAGGAGAGAGATTGCGACAGCTGTCATGCTTTTAATCGTAGCAATAGAAGATAGAAGAGACAATATAAAAGCAAAACAAAATACATTAGCATGTAGTGTTGTAGAGAAGCAAGCGGGAGTCAAAGATGCATTCGGCGGGGAACGGAGCCGAAGTAGCGAAAAGTAAAAGACACCAGAAGAAGATACTTAGGCAATCAACAAGGTCAGAGTCACTTGCTTGCTTGCTTGTTTCCACTCTAAGCAAAGAATTGATCCTAGCGAACCTCTAGAGTTGCGCCCGTGGAGGAGCCAACCATAGCAAGTGTTGAGTGTTGTTGTGCCATGCAGTCAGCTGAGTTAGGTTTTCCTAGTGGAGTAGTTCTGACTAGGAACTTTCAAGTGGGAAAGGCTGGGCCAAAGACCCAAGGCATGAAGAGAGAATTGAGGAACTTGATGGGGTGAGAAGAGAGAGAGAGAGGCTTAGAGAAATATCACTAAAAGGGGAAGACACAGGAAGAGAAGTATGGAGAAGGAGAGAGATTCCGACAGTGAGCAAGTCGGCGCAAGGTGTCATGGTATAGGTAGCGCCGCTATCGATCACCCAATAGTCTAGGGGGTGTAAGGTGACCTTTCCCACAGCTGCAGGCTCTTCAAAGTCTTCATCCTTCTCTGGTCCAGCCGGTGCTTGCGTTGACACAAAGTAGAATTGACCCGGGTACCGATCGTCGCTCGGGTCCTTGTCGTTATGTTCGCTCTTCATGTTTGCAGCACCGCTTCCGCGACCACCACGGCCTCTTCCTCTCCCTCCTCCTACTCCTCTACCCTCTTGGCCTTGAGCAGGGGTCCATCCATCAGGGAGTTTGAAGCAATCGCGCCACATATGTCTGCTCTTCTCGTCGCTGCCGTATCCGCCACTCCCGTGGCCTCCACTGAAGTTGTTGCTGCCAAACCTTCCTCCCCCTCGTCCTCTGCCTCTTCCTCGGCCATATCCACGGCCGACGCTCGCTGCCCCAGCGCCATCCGCACTCGTCAACTCACGGCGGCGGAAGTCCTCTTGAAGGATCGCAAGCTTCACGCCTTCAAGCGAGAGACGGGGCAGATCACGGTTCAAGTTGATGATGAGCGAGGACCACGATTCCGGGAGTAGGGCCAGCAACTTTGTCTTCTTTTGGAGCTCACTGTAGTTCAAATCAGCTCCTTCAAGCCACGTCAACAAGTCGAAGAATTTCTGCACCCCTTCTTCAACCACTTCATCATCTTCAATTCGTAGTGTCGCCATTTGCCGTTCCAACACCACTGCTACCGCCGCTGTTGCAGGAGCGTGTACACCCTTGAGCAGCCCATACCTTTGGTCCCTTCTCTGGTTCACGCTGGAAAGGCTTGATGTGACGGATTTGACTGCTCCCCAACGCTTGCCCTAGCAGGAGGTAGCCTTGTGCGCTCTTCCGCACCCACGGGCTCTTCTCCGAGTCGTTCTCGGGACGCTTCTCCGTTCCTTCCATCACCTCCAGCAGGTCATAGCGGTCAAATACATTCTCCATTCTGAAGGACCATTCAGCAAAGTTGTCACCGTTGAACTCGTCAAGCCCGAACACTCTTGGTTCACCCCTTGAAGGTCCAAAAGTAGGTTGCACGGGCGCCACGGCTGAATCACGGACTTGGCCTTGTACTTGGGCATCTCCATTGCCTCCAGCACCTCTTCTATCCCTTTCTTCGGGTCCAGCCATGGTCGAAGCTGCTCCAAGGCGCTCTGATACCACTTGTTATAGTCACAGTAGGCTTCAATGTTCCTAACACGAAAGTTAAAGTGCACAGCCAGATTTCTACAAAGCGGATTCAAACATTCATAGCGTTCTAGTCACGGCTTCAAATGACCTGATTCGACTTGGATCTGGAGCGTCTTAACGTCGCCTAAATAGGCAATTTAGATCTCACGATTTCACCAAGTATTGACGACACAGCGTCTTGAACGAATGGCACTAGGACAGCCACTATAGTCTTAGAACACAAGATAGGAAGAGTTAGGAAGAGTTACGAGTTGGGAATGACTTTCAGCTCCTACAAACCCCAAGAGCTAAGGTACAGTGATGTGGAACAGTGCCACACTGTCCCAAACCACAAAGGGTCTCGAACCACCCTTCACAAGGGCCTACACCAAGTGAAATGTTACACTACACAAAGTAATGTAACTGTCTTCAATATCTTGAGGTGTACCCCTTTCGCGAGCTTCGCGATCACTTGAATCTTGAAACCAAGGCTCTGATTCTTCACCACAAACTCATCCTTGAGTTCTTGATAAGTCTGCTGCTCACACGTGCAACACGCTGAACGTTCGACACATGACATAATAGAAACCGTGCGGGACACACAACAAGACAGAAACAGCGCACGGGACACAAACGAGTGCGTGGCACGCGACTAGCGATAACTCACTACTTACTCGGCACACACACATTCGTCATCATGACTCAACATTCACACACTATTATAAGCACAGTATATATATTATCTCAACCCCTCATACCATTCCATGCACACACGCATGCACGCACACGGACAACAAGCCGAGTGCAAACCGTAGGTTGCACCAACAAGATCTGCCCTCCCGCAGACCCGATCTGCCCTCTCGTGGCCTTACTCCGCTCTCCCATGGCTGCAACTCCCCTCCCTCCCCTTGCTCGCGGCTGCATCTCCCCTCACCGCGGACGAGCTGCACGCAGCCGCGGACGTCGGAGGCGCCGTCGTGGACCCAGCCCGTACGCAGTCGCAGCGTGTCGTCGCGGACAGCCCGCCGCCGCAGACGTATTCAACCTGTCGCGGACTGCCGTGCAGTGGTTAACAACTGCAGTGCCACCGGCAGCGGCACCGGCTATTAGCCCGCGCCGCACAGCCACGGACGATGATCGCGCCGCCATGGACAGCCGGCGCGCGGTCGCGGATGACGAGCGCGCCGCCGCGGACGG